AGCCCAGATATGATAACAGCGGAGAACAGTTCTGTGGATGGTTATGCAGGTGGTGTGGTCGGTAGGTGGGTGTAACTGTTGTCAAGCAGGAAACGGAAGAGCTGCCACACACACACACCATTGTGAACTCTGGTTCTGGTTAGTCAACATGCGAGAGAAATGTGCCGTGACGGAGCAAATGTAATGGAAAATGCTCGCGAGGAATTGTCCTTGCAGGCATCAACGCACCACCCAAGCTCCGCCCCTTAACATTCACTATCTGCTACTTTTATGCAGCGTGTCAATGTGTGAGCTGCTGTCGAAGGAAACGGGCTAAAAGTTGCACAACCTACTTATTTATACATATTTCCCTCTATATTATATACATATATGTGCATTCTAGGTTTTATTTTCCATGACCACGGCGTTGGTTTCCGTACTCACAGCTTTGAAACTGCGAGCAGTGAGATGCGACTGCGACTGTGGCTGAATCAGTGTGGCAGTCAGTGCCAAGTGCGTAACTTCCGTAATGCATTTTCTTTTGGTTGACACCCTAACGAAGTTAATTGACTACAAAAGGGTATTATGGAGCTGTGCAATAATATTCAACAGACACTGATTCATAGATATTAAAAAAAAAACAGTCACACACAAATCAGTACTAAAAGTTTACAATTTCTGTTCATTCTCTTTCAAACTTATCAATTCAGCATCACTTAAGATAAGTCCTAAAAACTATCGAGTTGTATTGGGAGTTTCTAACATAATTTGGTCTTGGAATGCTGAGGTATTCGTCCGTCGAGAACGCTCAACAATTGCTCATACCCCTCTTACGCCCCTCTTGTTGTTTTCATCGTTTGTCAGGCTCTTGCTCCTGTCTCCATAGCTACTGCTGGAGCCTCAATGCTAACAAGCTACGTTTATTGCCATAAAAGTTTACGACAAAAACTCATTTCCGTCACCAAGGCAATAAATGTACATTTGCAACGCAACAAAAGAAAGAGACGGGCACATGAAGAAAGCCAGAAAGCAGAAGAAGCAGCAGAAGACGAAGAAAGAGGCAGAAGGGGCAGGCTAGATCGATGCTGCTATAGATCTGTGTGTGGTGGCAAAAGTTGTAATAAGAAATGGAAGCCACTTGCTCAACAACAAGAACATGTCGCAAGAGTCACTTCCGCAGCGGAAATCTAGCACTTAGCCAAAACGGAAGTAGACATTTGTTGGATAGCGATTTACTATGCAAATTGAGAAATGTGCGTGTGTGTGTGTGCGTGTGAGAGGAAAACAAGCTAGAATAATAATAATAATAATTTTGGTTGACGCCTACTAGGGCGAAGAGGTCACCGAAAAAACAAATATAGCAGAAAAATGAGTGGAAAGCAATTTAATTATGTAGATGGTTTTTGGCATCGACTAGAATTACCTTGACAGGAGCAGCAGCAGTAGAGCAGCAGCAGGAGTAGGATCATGGACAGCAGCAGCAGCATCAGCAGCAGCAGCATCAACAGCCATTGCTCATTAGTGTCAATCTATTTAGCATAAATTTCAATTAAAGCAATATCCTGCAGCAGGCAGGCAGCCAGGCAGACAGACTGCTATGGTAGCCGTGGCATGGATGACACGGCCGGCGCGTTGTTAAACCGACTTAGCGCACTTTCTTAGAATAATAGAGCGGAAACAGCAGCAGCAGCAGCCAAAGAAGAAGAAGCAAAAAATGACGCCTGGCTGGTAAAAATAAAAATAAAAAAATAATGGGCGGCTGTCGTCGCTAGCCTTGCTGTGGCTCATATTTCAGGCCGTTGCTCAACGTTGCTAAACTCATTAAAATGCAAAATGAGCGCAAAAATATATATTGAAGAATGCCACATCATCCCTCCTTCCACTCATCCTTGTTCCCTTCTCTCCTAGACTGGTTGCGCAGTCTTGGCGTTGCCAACTCTGTCCGTTTAGGTTTAAATGTATTGAAAACGTCTTATTAATAATTGCTATTGACTCTAAGTGCACTGTTTGTGGCTAAAGATATATATATATATATATATAAGTTAATTTATTTTAAAATATGTGTAATGATCTCAGATCTGTATTCAATACTCTTAAGAGATGTCAGTAGAAGAGAGAAACGAGTAAAAATTCCCATTAGTTCGCTACGGGTTCCACAGGAATATAAGAATAGGCATCATCTAGGTGATTTTCTTGTACTTAAATAAAGCTAATAATCTACACTAAGAAGTTCGCCATTTTATGCCACTGTGAATTCACTGGAGAATGCCAAAGGACGAGAGCCTTGGAAGAGTTTAGTCTAATCCTCTACTTCAGAAGAGACACTGGGCATGTATTTGGTCTGCCTGCAAATAAAAATAAGCATAAGCTTTTCGACCACGCTACCGGTATGAGCAAACTGCAATATTTCCGCACAGCTTATGTGGCAGACACACACACAATTACATGCCCCCACACACACACACACACACATGCACATATTCGGTAAATCCCAGCAGCAAACCAGCAAGCAACAACAACAACTAGCAATGTTTAGCAACTGTATTTGTATATGTATGTGTCTACTTCTGTCTGAGCGGAGAAGGAAAGAGGATATGTAGTGAGGAGAGAGGGCTGTAGGATGGGGGGTGGGGGGGCAGCTGTACGGCGGAAGGAAACAGTTAATACTTCTGTCTGTTATGCGCTTACTTCCTGTCTCCATTAAAAGTCATTCTTTTGGATAATCCTTTTGGCAACATTATGGCAAGTATTAAAAACTTTTTTGCACCAACTACTCGCTAGACCAGTCCTCACCTCCCCGAAATCCCGTCAACCCTGCATAACGGTATTTTTTCTCTTATTACCTAGCAGGAAAAAGTTTTGCTTGCTTTTTTTTTTTTTCGTATTTGCAGATTCTTCTGCAGTTGCTGCGCTGGATTTGAACTTGGATTTGGATTTGTTGGCCAGGCCAACAGTCGTCCTGTCTGTCTGTCTGTCTATCTGTCTGTCTGCCTGCCACTTTATTTCATACATGTGTCCATGTTGTTGGTGGTGCCTGGGGTATTTTGTCTGCGGCTGGCAATGCATGATAACCATAAATATTGTGTGTAATAGAAAATGTTGTGTAAGTTCTTTGCTCTAAAATTTGTTACGCGTTTTGCTGATGCTCCTTTTTTGCTGCTGTAGTTGTTGCTGTTGGCCCAGCTTACCTCTTGATTCAAAACTATATTTCGCCTGTCCAATTTCAGTCTTGTGTTTTGTTTTCGCAAGGAACAAGAAAATAAAGAAAGAAGCTTGCAGACAAAGAACATATTTAAGTTTGATATGGTAATATAATCTCAAAAGACACAGTTATCAGGTGGATATAGTGCTTTATTATAAAGTCAAATAATTGGCATATATATATCTTCTAATTGAAAAACCAAGAGTTGTTCTTTTATCAAAACTTAATATGCTCTCTCCTCTTCTCTTCTTCTCTACATCGCCTCAATAAAAATTGTAATAATAATATCGAAAATGACTTCTTCTAAATGTTTCTTTTTATAATAAAACTTAATATGCTCTCTTCTCTTCTATATTAGCTAAAATTATGATTAAACTGTAAAAACATCGCCTCAATAAAGAGTATAATTATAATATTGAAAATGCCATCTTCTATCTGTCACTCATTTTGTCACCAGGCTATAAAAAATACCCTCTTTGCAGTCCCATTAAAAGCACAACGATTAGCTCCCCTGGGGTTTCTGGAAAGGGAGCACAGCGAACATGTCAATGGCAGCACTATTTTCCTTAAGGAACGCACCTCAATCACACACAGCCATTTAAAACACACACACAAACACACACACACACACAGACACAGGCACAACCCGTGTAAAAGTCACAGGAAGTGAGCGCAAATTGTATTTCCATAAGAGAGCGGGGAGTGGTGCGAGGAAGCATTTGGGGGGTGTGGTTTGTGGGCCATTGATTTCTATTGAAAAGTGATGAGGTGTCAATTTTTCATAGAATAAAACCCAATGCGAGACGAGATAGGCGAGGGGAAGAGGGGAAAGTGCTGACAACTCATGGCAACGATATAAATTTGCATAGAAAACACATTCACTAAAAACACACACACATTAACATATTTTAATGGTGTGCGTGTGTGTCATATATATATACATATATATATGTATATATGTGTGTGTCGTTTTTGTCTGTGTGTGTGGGTGTGTGTGTGTGGTGTATGTGTTTTCTTTGTGCATGGCGTTGAAAAACAAGTAACAATATGGCCGCTGGTGTCATTTTAGCCTTTGCTCTGTTTGCCTTCAGGATTTTATTGATGCCAAACACGTTTTGCCGTTGAAGTCAACCTTTTATTTTTTTTTCTTCGTTTTTTTGTTTTTTTTTTCGTTTTTTTTTCGGTTGGGCTGCAGCCGAAATTTGAATAATTTGTCGACAAAGGCCAACAGGTAGCAAAACGGAAACGGGAAAACAGCAACAGTGGTGGGATGGTGAGGATAATGCAAAAATACCGTTTATATTCATTTCAATAGACCAGAAATAAGCCGACTTGTGTTAGGGGGCGGTGCCATATGGCCATGGGGCGTGGCACTAACACAAAAACACAGTTCTCTGCGTATGCTGAGGGGGGAGGTGTGAAGGGAGGAGGTTGGGTTGATTAAGATAAATGCTGTTTGCAATTCACAGAATCTGCTTTAAGATGCGTAAAGTTTGCGTTTTCTAATATTATCTTTGGAATAAGGAAAGATTACGAGACGAAAAAATGATTTTTTGATAGGTTTACATATCGTAATTTCGATATTTTTAAAATTTAGCGGAAAATATAATTAAAAATATTTATTTTTATATGTAAATTTCATAAATTTGCGTGAAAATCATTTGACAAACGTTGATCAACTTATCTGCAGTGTATTCAAAATAATTCTACAACTTTGATGCTGATCAGCCTGATCAGCTGGCTCAAAGAGCTTTTCCAAAAAAAAAAAGAACAGCTGCTGTCAAAATTCTATTTTCCATCGATGGCAGAAAAGCTCTTTTCAGTTTTCCGTGCACACTCAACGAGAAGAAACATACGTAATACGGTAAAATATTTGTGTTTTGTAAAATTGCTGAAATTGCACACTGAAAATTCCAGTCTGCTCAGCAAGCGAAAATATGTGGCATGGAATTGCTGTGCTCTGCTGCATTTGGAGTGCATTTTTGGTGAACAACAGCCTGCAGCAACAAATCAGCATTGGTGAGGCAAGCCAAATAGATACACATAGATATATATATATGTATATATATAAATGTCGAAACAGTCGTATATGAAAAGCTTTCCCCCTTGCCCATACTCAGGTGCCCTTTTCTACGACAATGAACTGGAGCTGGAGAAGGAATTTATGTCGGTTATAAATTCTATTAATGGACCTCAACCTGACCAAGGCTCTTTCATATATCCTTTGATAAAACGTTTAAAGCCCGAGGATGGCAGCGTTATTCTTCAAGAACACGGTGCGAATTTTGTATTTGCAATACTCGAAATACTCATTAAAAAAAGATAACACAAATAATCTTCACTTTTAGCCTGCGATCTAATTGATAATGGTGTCGCCGCTATTTTTGGACCAAGTTCACAAGCGGCTAGCGGTAAGTAAATAGGGGAAAGCGGAGTGGACTTATAGACCAGTTGTCTGGTGGAAAATTTGTGTAGAACACGCAAAGCAAAATAGAAATGCGAATAGCCGCTAAAAGCTTGTCGAAAGCGAATGGCGACTGACAAGCAAAAGTGAAAAATGCCGACAAAAAGTTTTGTTTGTAAATAGACAGACAGAGAGAGAGATATATAGATAGATAGATAGAGATAGAAAGAGCAACAATATGAAAATAGAGCATTTGAGATATTTTAGCTACCATAGAATTTGAATGTGACTAGTAAAACTATATCACACCTATAATATTTGAATAATATTCTAAAAAGTATTGTAGAAATTACTAACTAAGTAAATTAATAATTATCACATTTCAAAAGTTTAATTGAATGCTTTTAAAACCTGTTAGATTTTTACATATAGCATTTTTTTTTATTATTGTCTACTTTGTCTAATTCAAAGGCAGTATTAATCTGTAACTCGAATCATAATCAAAAATAGATTGGTTTTATAAACAATAAATTCCATATTATTATTAATTTAAAGACAACTATTCTTCGCTTATACCCCTAACAGACATCGTTGCTCTAGTGTGCAATAGTACTGGGATACCACATATTGAGTTCGATATGTCCGATGAGGAGCATATGGAGGAGAAGCCGAACCATCAAATGAGCCTCAATCTGTATCCCTCACAGCTGATGCTCTCCAAGGCCTATGCGGATATTGTGCAGAATTATGGCTGGCGAAAATTCACAATTGTCTACGATGCAGATGATGGTGAGTTGCTCTGTGTTGCATAACTAACTGTCTTTGATCGGTGTACACTCCCAGCCAAGGCAAATGCCCGGTTGCAAGATCTGTTGCAACTGTGCGACATGCACAATGATGTGGTACGTGTGCGTAAATACACAAAGGACGACGACTATCGTGTGATGTGGAAGAGCATCCGGGGAGAGCGTCGTGTGGTCTTGGACTGTGCTCCCGATATGCTCGTCGAGCTGCTCAACTCCTCATCGGAGTTCGGCTTAACCGGACAGTTTAATGTGAGTATCGAGAAGTGGGCAAAGTTGCTTGAATCCAGTTTTTAATATTTATTTAATTTTTCAAATGTTGAAAAGAACATTGGATTTATATACATTTCTATGCAATTACCCATTTCTGTATCTGGATCCCAACTTGCAGCACATTTTCCTCACCAATCTGGAGACATACAGTGATCATCTGGAGGAGCTCACTGCGGATAATGAAACATTTGCCGTGAACATAACCGCAGCCCGTATACTGCTCACTCCGGAGCCACCAGCCGTAAGTGGATCTGTCGACAGATACAGGATCTAGTATCTCTTACTAATGCTGAACTCTTTCCTATGTAGCACCTTCGTCTATATGGCTATGTGTCACAACGTGACAGTGTTGTGTATGAGAACAATGAGCCTGTACGCACTTTATTGCATGACCTGATAAACGATGGAGTCCAGCTGTTTGTACAATCCTGGCGAAATGCCAGCTACTTCTATCCGGATCGAATGGCGGTGCCTCGCATGAATTGTGATTTGGCCACCTCCGGTGGGCGTCCTTGGCCAATGGGTCGCTTCTTGACGCGCCTTATGAAGGGGGTAAATGGGTGGCCATGGGGGTGAGTTGAGACACCACCAAGCACACTAATCTTTGCAACTTCCGTTCGCAGACTTCCGGTGTGAATAGCACGAATTTTCGCACCAGCAATTTACAGTTTGACGAGGATGGACAGCGAATTAATTTCAATATTGAAATTTATGACCCCACCGATAACATTGGCATCGCCGTGTGGGACACAAGGGGCCAGATAACCCAGCTGGACATGGAGATGAAGGTGCAGAAGAAGGTTGTCTATCGCGTTGCCACCCGCATTGGTCCGCCCTATTTCTCCCGGAACGAGACCGCAATGGAACTCAATTTGACGGGCAATGCAATATACCAAGGATATGCTGTGGATCTCATCGATGCCATTGCGCAAGAGGTGGGATTCGAGTATATATTTCTGCCTGTGGCGGATCAGCAGTATGGCAAACAGGACAAGGATACGAAACAGTGGAATGGCATCATTGGTGAAATCATCAATAATGTGAGTAAAAGTTAGTCAAAGTCAGTGATTACTCAATCCAATTCAGAATGAAAAGTTTTTAACGCAGGAAGGAGAAGGAGAAGTCTCCGCCTTGACATAGCATATATATTCTTGATCAGCATCACTAACAGTGTCGATATAGACATATCCGTCTAACTAATTAAATTTTTTTAATTTTAATTGAAATGCTTTTGTAATACGCAGGATGCTCACATGGGCATTTGTGATTTGACAATCACTCAAGCTCGTCGCACAGCTGTTGATTTTACGGTGCCCTTTATGCAGCTGGGTGTCAGCATACTGGCCTACAAGAGTCCGCACAAGGAGAAGGAGCTGCATGCCTATCTGAAGCCCTTTGGCGGAGAGGTCTGGATTTGGATACTCATATCTGTGTTTGCCATGTCCTTCCTCAAGGTCATCATAGCAAGGTAAATAATACAAGTATGCTTAATGTTTTTGGCTATTTAATTGCCTATTTTATTTTTAGAATCGCCAAGGATGAGTGGGTGAATGCGCATCCTTGCAATCATGATCCGGACGCCTTGGAGAATCAGTGGCATTTGCATAATACATTTTGGCTGACGGTGGCATCGATAATGACAGCTGGCTGTGACATTTTGCCCCGGAGTCCACAGGTGCGTCTGTTTGAGGCCACTTGGTGGATATTTGCCATCATTATTGCCAATTCGTATACGGCCAATTTGGCTGCCTTTTTGACCAGCTCCAAGATGGAGGGCAGCATCGGCAATCTCAAAGATCTGAGTGCGCAAAAGGATGTTAAGTTTGGCACCATTCTCGGTGGAAGCACCTATAACCTGTTGGCCGAGTCCAATGAGACGGTCTATCGCCTGGCCTTCAATCTGATGAACCAGGATGATCCCTCGGCCTACACCAAGGATAATGATGAGGGTGTTGAGCGAGTGCTGGCTAGCTGCGGTGACTATATGTTCCTCATGGAGACGACAACGCTCGAGTATAATCGCGAGCAGCACTGCGATCTGAGGGCGGTGGGCGAGAAGTTTGGGGAGAAGCATTATGCGATTGCGGTACCCTTTGGCGCCGAGTACCGTTCCAATTTGAGTGTTGCCATCTTGCGGCTGAGCGAGCGAGGCGAACTGTACAATCTAAAGCAGAAGTGGTGGAAGAATCCCAATGCCAGCTGCTTCGAGGAACCCGATCCGGATGCCACCCCAGACATGACCTTCGAGGAGCTGCGTGGCATCTTCTACACGCTCTATGTGGGCATTCTGATTGCCTTTCTCATTGGCATCACCGAGTTTCTTGTCTATGTGCAACAAGTGGCACTCGAAGAACGTGTAAGTTGCAATTGTTTCAATTGTGTTTCAATTGTGTTGAATCGGTTCCCTTTCCAGTTGCGGTTCAAGGAAGCCCTCAGAAAGGAGATGCTGTTCGTGCTGTGCGTGTGGAACAACAAAAAGCCAATTGCACGCAATACGCCGGCCTCCAGTTTGGGCGCCACGTCGCGCCAATCAACGGAGAAGTCCATGGAGCGGACACCGAAGTCAGCGCGTCGCATTGTCCTTGGCCGCTCCTCTGAGGAGATGCGCGAATTGCCGCCGCAGAGCCGAGCAGGTAGCAGCAGCGAGGAGAAGGACAAGGAGCAGCACGAAGCACGCGTCTGATATTTTCACTCTTCATTCTCCTTATAATCTCTCCTCAATAATAATCCAAAAAATAAAAATATTAAATAATAATAAAAAATAAATGAAGAAATGAAGGAATGTCAAGGCCCATCGCTGTGTAATCAATTTGCAGGTTCTTTAAGCTTGAAATTACTTCGAGGTCGCCGCAGGGCGCGTTATTTGAGGCGAGTCCTCTCTGCTGCATAGCGTTGCGTGGTGCTTTCGAACTTGCCACACGGCTCGCTGGGCAGCCTGCAACCACGTTAACGTGACAAGACCCCCAACCCCATCGCCACCCTCGCCCCCTCCCCTCTCCCACCTCTCCCTGTTAACTTGACTCTGTGTCATTTTCGTTTATTTGGTGCTCTTTGCCGCTTGCCAACGCAGGGCGCCACCAAAGCTGCCTCAGCTTGTCAATTGCGTTATTGGAGCTTATTGACATTTTATATCCCAGCAGCAACTGACGAACGACGTCTTTCCTCTTCTCTGCCCCTCGCCCACCACGCCCTATCTCCAGCGAGAGCTCGTCTGTGATCGACGAGAGAATACCCTCCTTTGATTTGATCATATTTTCTTTGTTAGGAAAGATAAGTTTAATTTTTAGCAGTTAGATTAAAAAAAAAATATTTCATGTATAGCAGATATTTAAAATAAAACTTGTTTACACAATGTTCTGAAACTTATAAATTGTTAATTTTTATTTGAATACAATTTTAATCTCAAGGGGACAAAAATAAAGATAGTTTTCCGATTTCCAGGTGAGAATTCTTCCTACTTTTAATGTGTGCTAAAAAAAAAAAATAACAAAAATTCTGTTTACAAAGATTTTGTAAAGCAACTTTCAATGTCAACTATGTAAATAAACTTACCCCTTTATTTACCCTGTACAGGGTATAATTATTAAAACAGCTTCGAGCGCCGTCGAGCAGATGAAACTGCAGCTGCAAATGGCTGCAAATGGGAAGTGGAAAAGGGGAAGTGGGATATGTGAAGCAGAGCGGCGATTGAGTGGAAAATACGCGCTTGTCGTTGTTGTTGTTGTCATTGTGTGTTGTGTCGCCTTTGTCCTTTGTTGGTTTACTGCTGTAAGATGAACAGCGATGCAACAACCACAACAAGTCGCAGAACTTTCGCTGGACATGAGAAATAAATAAAATAATTTTTTTTTTTTTGGCATATCGCATTGCATTCTGCTTTGTATTTTGGCTCATTGTGTCAGCAATTTTTAAATTATTTTGTTGTGAAGTGACTTTTGACGTCAATTGAGTAGCACACACCCCCTCCCCCTTGTTACTGTTACAGTTTACTGCTGCTGCTCGTTAACAGCGCTAGGTAAAAAGTCTACACACAAACTCAACACACTTGTTGCCGTTGGTTTACCATGCGCACAAGCCGGAGAGTCATACTCACCACCGCTGGCCAATGGCTGAAGGCCGAGCGACAAAGCGACATAATCCACACAATCCACACAAATGCAACCCCAAACGCGAAAAAACTGAAGGAGGGGGAATGGTCTTATACGACGGGTGGTGTTCACTGTGTGTGTGAGTTTGTTTGCGTGTGTGTGTGCGTGTGTATTGGTAGAATGTCATTTGTTAATGCCACGCACGTAAGCAATTTCCGCACGAAAGCGCATTCTTTGAGCCTTTAATGTACTTTTTGATGTTAACAAATTTTTGAACATTTGTTGCTGCCTGCCACTGGGAGCGAGTCAACGACAGACGACAGCGGCCAGAGGACTAAGAAAAGAAAAAAAGCAGTCAAAGAGACGGACAAAGAAGCTGAAAGTTAAATTTGGGTATTTGTCATTGGCTGGAAATTGAGTGCGAGTGATTAGAGGCAAATTATGAAGTGAGGTTAAATCTGTTTTGCAGAGATTAGCAGAGCAATTAACAGCTCTTAAAATTTGATAGACTGTAAAAGGTGTGTGGCAAAGAAGAAAAGCCAATAACACTTACACACACTGGAATTGAGTTTAGTGCGCCACTTGCAACACTTGACGGCCAAACAGATTGCAATTGAAATTCACGAGGCAAATGTTGAAGGAGCCGCAGCAGCAGAAGAAGCAGAAGTAGGCAATTAGCCAATATAAATCCTCGGCTCACATGGCTGGAAACAAGCGGGCAGCATTTTTAATTAACTGCAAAGTGCAGCAGCAGCAGCAGCGTGCAAAAGATCATATATAAATATATATATATATATATATAGAGAAGGTGACTTGCGATTTATAGCACGATTTCACAGCAATCAATTGCTAGTGTGACTTTTAGTTTGAGGCTTTGCAGTGGCTCCTTGGAGTTCCTTCCCATCGAGAACAAAGCACAAGGAGCAAATTGCTTTTGCAAAGGCAACTCAAAACGATTCCCTCAACTCAATTTTTGAGATGAGCGTTGAGAAAAGTCGGAATTTTATACAGATGTGTAATAATATAATATAAATTGCCAGAGAGAAGCCATTGATTTTGGAATTGTCCAATATTATGCTATATATTGATTAAGTTGTAAATAAATATATAAATATAAATAAGTAAATTATATTACATGAATAAATATTAAAAAAAAACCCTTTTGATCTTCGATTTCTGCGCATTATTTAAATAAATTATTTAATTTAAATTTCCAAGATTAAAATGGAATAATTATTTAATTTATGTTTCAATAATTATCTTTATTTAATAATTATTTCATTTAAATTTATACGATTCTATAATAAAAATCGAACAATAATTGATCAATTTGTTTATACTTGTAGACAAAATTGAAACATTAAATGTTATTATTACTTCACTTTTGAGCTCAACTTGCTTTACTCTCAAAAAAAGTCTGCTTAGCACGTGCCACAAAATTGGATGGCTCAATGGCCTCCTCTACCCTCTCTGCCTCCTCTGCCTCTTGTGCCGCTTCTGATTCTTGTAGTGCAGCAGTGCAGCATTTGCCGTAAAACGTGCTGAACACAAAACTCAAGCAAATTGTGCATGAAATCGAAGCAGTAAACTCAGTTAACAAGTTGTGTGCTAATTACTCAGCTGCCCAGCCAAATACAGCGACAATTTTTGGCCCAAACCTAAACTGCACTTTGGGCCCCTAATAAACAACAACAAGAATAACGGAAAATATGAGTACAGGCAATTAAAGGCAGTCCAAAGGCCAACATGGTCAGTAACAACAAGAATTGCTACATTTAGTTGCCTGTTGCCTGTTGCCAGTTGGCAGTTTCAAGCCAGATTTCTTGTCACGAAAACGGCCCAAAGCGTTTCCAGTTTGCGTGTATTTGTATTTTTTTTTTAATATTTTCTATTATTTAGAAAGAAAAGAAACATTAAACATCCAATTCTAGACCAGTTTTAGCTGCCAGCGTGGGCAAGGTGCAGAGCAACCTATTTTAATTCAAATTACAGGGTATCTGCTAGTTGTGCACTCTCAAAGCTTGTTGTTTGAATTGCTTAGCTGGAGTTGTTGTTGTTGCTGTTGCTGACTTTGACTGTTGCCTGTTTTAACTAACTGTTTACAGTTAGAAGCAACAAACATAAATTGCAGCATTTGCCAATTGAATTCCCCAAAGTCAGCCAATTAAAAGAGGTGCTCTCTCTATCTCTCTCTTTATCTATCTCTCTCTCACTATCCCACACACTGTCTTCAATAAAAAATGGCGATCGGTGTGAGAAAAATCACATTTCGCAAGGAAAAACAATTGAAAACCCATTGCAATATTTCTTAGGCCACGTGTCTGTTAGAGGGAGCAGTACTCTGGAGGGGGCGGGGGCGGGGTGGCAAAGACAAGAAGACAACACGGAAAGCAAATAAACGCAGATAAAGAGCTGCGAGCTGCGAGATAAAGAACAAACAAGGTGAACAGTGGGCGAGAGAGGGAGAGAGAGAGAGAGACGGCGACGAACAGAACTGTTAGATATTTATTTGTGTGTGGTGTGTGTGGATATTTGCACATGTTTCGCATTTGTATTCCATGCGTTATTGAGCTGAAAATTGATGCACATTATTTACTCTATTGAATTACACATTAGCCAGTGGCTTCCCCCATCCCCCACCCGCAGCACCACACACCCCACACCCTTGCCCACGAACCAATAAATAATTTGAAAATAACAAAATAAGCAACTGGAAGAAACAAAGACGAGCAACGAGAATCACAAAAACAACAACAAGAACAATAAAGTCAACGTCGACTGCAAATGCAACGCTTTGAATTATGCATGTGTGTCTCTCTCTCTCTCTCTCTCTCCATCTCACTCTCTCACTATACACTTACAGTGCTGCCCATAAATTGGCCAACTAAATACAATTTATTTCTCGTTGTCGCTGGTGACCCGTGTGTATTTTATATATATATACCATATATATATATATATATATCTATTCAAACGTTACGCAGCACTGCATGCTTCGTGCTCTGTGTATCGTTATTTATGCGCTGCTTTTAGCATCACCCCTTTGGCATTTTTTCTCATATGCCGAGGGCACATCTTCAATATAATATTTATGTAGTTTTAAATAGTTTGCAAAATGTTCTGAGGTCATGTTAAGCTGCAGCTGTTAGCTAGCAGCGCTGTGTTACGTTACAGTCACCCCTGGCGGCACGACGCATGTTAACCGTTTCGTGTGACGAGAACTGTGCTACTGCTGTGCTACCCCTAAGCACTGCAGACTACAGTTAACAGCGTACTCTTATGTTATGCTTAGCAGGCTGCGGATAATGTTTATAGCACTTTTATGGCAAGCGCTCCTGCGAGTGGATAATGTTAAAAAGCGATGGCTGTAAAAATTTGATTTTGTTTTGTTAAATGCACTGAAACATATATTTGTAACATACTGAATTGAAAATAATAATTTAAAAATCACTTTCTTTTTAAAACTGTTATAAAGAGAGAAGTGTTGCATATTCATATTATTAATCCAATAAAATTCATGTAAGCAATGCCAGGAACAAAAGGCTTACCGTCAAACTTTAGCTTAGCATTTACATCGATCTAACAGCTGCAGCAGGAGCAGAAGCGGCAGCAACGAAATGTAACGAAATAAAACGAAGGCATAACTTAACTCACCTCACCACACTGTTAAGGGTCGTCTGTGTGTGCTT